TCAGGTTAAAGTGCATTTACCTGCAGAGTCACCCATCCGATAGGCCCATTTTCTACTTTTGAGGCAGCCAGGACCCAAGTTTAGGGAAGGGTGCCACCCTCTTTTCCCCTGGGTCTTCCCACCCAGTTGATCTACTCAAGATCATCACTCACAAGCATGACTACAGGCTAACTAAAAGTCTACATAATTCCTCAAGAAGGTGCCTGGAGGACCTTCTTCTAGATTGCAGGTCCTACCTAGCTGAGGACACTAACCATCACAATAAGCTAAATATTTTATTGGTGTCCTAGCAACACATGGACTTCCTGCGTTCACACTCAGTGAGTCTTCTTAGAATCTTCTGAACAATACCATTTATCACCTTTTTATTAAATATGGACAAGTCAAGTCACCTGACTGCATTTGCTAAATTTTGCTGTTTTATATTTTGAGACAGGGTCTCATTAGGTAGCCTTGACTAGACTGGCCACTATCTGGCCTTAAACTTGCAGAAATCTGCCTCTCTGCCTCCCAAATGCAGGGAGTATAGTCATTTGCCACCATGAGAAACAACTAAAAACTTTTAACATATATTTAAACATTTTGCTTCCTTAAAAAATTATTTCGCTGGTGTTGGTGGCTCATGCCTTTAATCCCAGCACTCAGGAGGCAGAGGCAGGCAGATCTCTGTGAGATCGAGGCCAGCCTGGTCTCCAGAGCGAGTGCCAGGACAGCCTCCAAAGCAATACAGAGAAACCCCATCTCAGAGAAAAAAAATTCATCAGGGTCTAGAAAGATGAGTCAGTGGTTAAGAGAACTTATTGAGAAAGAGAGAGAGAGAGAGAGAGAGAGGGAGAGGGAGAGAGAGAAAGAACTTATTGCAGAGGACCCAGGTTCAGTTCGCTCCTTTCACTCGGTAGCCTACAAATCCGTAGAACTAATTTCGGGACATCCAACACATCTTCTGGCTTCTGTGGCCACCAGGCAGACACATGGTGTGCAGACATACATGCAAGCAAAATACTCATACACATAAAATAAAAATAAATCTAAAGAATCATTATAGCTTAAAGAGAATTGGATTCTAATTTATAGTAATTTGATCTCCATTAGTAATTTGATTCACTTGTATATTGAATTTAGGAAGGAGGATTCTGGTGACTTTCCATCTGAATTCTGTGTCTGTCTTCTGTGTGTGTGTGTGCTCTTCCCCAGCCCTTTCTCTCCAGTCTGTTCTCCAGGAAAGTGAGGACTATTCTAGGCCATTAGGAACCATGCATAACTGTCTGTAATAGAAAAGAGCTCTCCAAAAGAAAGGTAGCAAGGACACTGGCCTGCCCAGACACCAGAACAGGCCCCGTTCAGCAGGCATCATCTGTCATCCCACATTACTCTCTCTGCAAGGAGACTGCAAACATTAGAAACACCATCTTGGCTGAGAAGCATCGTTTTCATTCTGTTCTTTAGCTGTGGTAATGGAACTCGAAGTTAGTAAGTACATAGAAGGCACCAGCTGCAAGGGCATATATTTTTGTTTCCAAGGCACAGTTATCATTCCCACTAAATCTTTTCCCCAAGGTGGTGGCACCTCTTCTGCACCACAACACCTTTTTTTTTTGTTCCACAGGACTTAATCTACCAGTGCTTCTAGAAGGATAATGTCCTTTCTTTAAAATCCAAATTGAAAATCCACAGGCTGCACATGCGGTATCTGTCTTAAGTAATGCAAAAACATTTCCTTAGTGTTGAGTATCACGCACAGCTCCCTGGCTCTGAAAAGAACAAAACATCCTTTATAAATTACTAGGTAAACATTGACGTTTCGGAGACTTTACAATCCTGACCAAAAGGCCGTATTGTAGGGGTTTAAATTGGAGGTGTAATGAGCCTTAAAAATGACTAAGAAGCATGGGGTGGGGGTGGGGGGATGGTCCAGCCTGAGATGGTAATTGACTTGCTATGGGCGTGATAAGGTAGGAACATCATTCCCAAGTGTGGTGAGAATCCACAGTGCCACCGAGGATGCTGGGTGAGGTTTGTAGGAGAGAATGCGTGTACCTCATCTTGGTGAAGAGATTAATTTTAGAGACTTGCAGGGCGGCAGAATATACCCCGCAGGTTTTCATTGCACCAGAGCAGCGTGTTTATTCCTTCAGATAAATAGGACTATTATGAATCACTCCTTAGCTTGTAAATCATAAAAGCTGCTAACTGGAAGGAAATTTCCTTGATAAGAAGCAGGGTTAAGACGACTGAAGAAATGGCTCACAGGGTAAAGGTGATTGTTGCTAAGCCTGGTGACCTGAGTTCAATCCCCAGGACCTATATGGGTGAATGGCCTCCCTGCAAGGTTCTGTGACCTCCCCAAGCTCACCGTGGTACAAATGCCCTACCATCTAAAGAACTTTTTTTTTTCCTTCTAAAACACAGAGCAAAAAGTCTCCTTTTATCGACTGTAAAAAGTGACCTACAAAGGGAGGTGCTTTCTGATCCCGCTTTCCTTCTTTACCGGGCATCTTATTTTTCTGTTAATTTTTAGTATACTATAATCTGTCAATCATGTGTCAAAATGGATTTTTACTTGCATCAGAACCCTTCCATTTTTAAACCTGCTACACAGTCCTGACTTGATTCGTGGGTGCTTCTTTAGTTCCCTTCCTGAGTTCATTAGCCCACTTACAAACTTAAGACTACCCAGGGAATTTAATTTTGAATTGGATTTTATTTCCTCTGAGAACATAAACAAAATTCTCAGTCACAGAGGAAAAATAAGGTGGACTGTGCATCGCAAATCTGCTTCGCTGAAGGAGCATATCCTGGAGCCTTGAGCAAGACAGGTTCCTGCGCCTTTAAGAAAAACCTGAGGTAATTTTCCGCCCTCGCCTGCCCCATCAGCCCCGCCCACGCAGCGGGCGACCGCGAGCGCGGCGGACTGCGGCTGCGCGGCACGGGGTGCGCCTCCGTTGCCTGGTTACCGCCAGCCCCCGCCGAAGCGCCAGGAATTCTCCTGTTTCCAAGATGGCCTCCAACGCCTCTTTGTGTGCGCCAAGAACAAAGCCAGTGGCACACCTTGAGCTCCGCAGAAAGAATTGTATGGCGGGCTCTGGAGTGTGGAATATCAGTGTTTACTATCTCGACGGTGTAGACACCTTTTCAGTTAAATGTTTTGGATGGGAGAGAATCCAGGGGCGTGCTCCAAGATGTGAGCTATGGTTTCTCAGCCTTACCAGGGCTGGGTTGTGCCCTCAAAACTGGTGCAACATTCCCATGTTTCTTTCTGTGTGTGTGTGTGTGTTTGTGTGTGTGTGTGTGTGTGTGTGTGTGTGTGTGTGTGTGTGTGTGTGTTGTTTTCATGTTAAGCTAGCTCAGAAGGAAATTCAAACTGAGCTGTGGAGATATGTAATTTACACGTTCACTCAAGGAAATGATGCAACTCCCCTGTTAAAAATACCTGCTCGCTTTTCTCTTTAAAATTTAGTTTATGCCCAGATAGTATCTGATGGTGCTATGAAAATCATTGCTGGAGTGAACGTTCCATTAGGGACATGAGCTTTGCTGTGTAACTCAGGACTTTTTGCTTTGCTAGATAATACTGATTAACACCGACTCTTTAATGTCCCCTTTTAGGAGCCCATGTTAGGCTACTTTGTTCTATCCTGCTCTCCCTCTGTATACTGCAAGCGCTCTGGGAATGTTTTGCAGATCTAGAAACGAGAGCAAGGAAATTATCACTGCCTAAAATGCCTCAGCTAGTAGATGGTGGAGCCTGCTTTTAAAAAACCCGCAGTCAGATGGAGCCTCTGTTAGGCTACTTTGTTCTATCAAGCCCTCCCTCTGCATACTGTGAGTGCGTTGGGAATATCAACGCAGCACTCTCATGGGAAAGTCTCTTAGGAGAGAGAATAGACTTTACACCTTTTTATTGGGTACCGGTGGCCAGAGCAGTTTTTATCTTTGAGCAGAAGGTCCAAACCTAGAAAACCTTGGTGGCAGGTGTTGGGAAAAAAAAAAAAAAAAGCAAAAACCAACTATAATTACATAAAAACAATCGCCTGCCACACTCCATCCTCTTCATAAAGTAGAAGGGGGTGGGGAGCTTCAGTATTGAATAAACAAAGTTTCCAAGCAGCAGGTCCAAGAAGAGCAGCAAGTCCTGACAAGAGAGGTGTTTATAGCACAGTTTGTTGGCCACAAGTCACCCCAAATCCATCCAGTGATGGGTATCTGGTAATCTGTCACCTGTACCCATAAGAAACAAACAAACAAAATAATAAATTTATTCTTTGAAAATTTCATGTATGTATACAATTTTTTTTTTTTGGTGTGTGTGTGTGTGTGTGTGTGTGTGTGTGTGTGTGTGTGTGTGTGTTTTGTTTTGAGACAGGGATTCACTATGGAGCCCAAACTGTCCTGGAACTTGCTACAACTTGCTACATAGTCCAGACTGGCCTCCAAATCAAGATCCTCCTGCATCAGTCTCCTCAATGCTTGTATTAAAGGCATACATTGTTATAGAGGTAATATGCCTTTCCAGTGAGACTCACTCTTAGAGTGAAATTAATAAAGGAAAAGTTCTTTAATAATAGTTCAAGTCCAGCTCTGGATAATACTCAGAGAGGAGCCAACCATGAATAGAATACTTCTCTAACTTACATGATAGCTTTATGATTTCCACATAGACTGTCATCCTTAACTCTTTCCCATCCTGGCCCCAGCTTACTTACATTTTGAACTATTTAAACAGAGACCGGAGACTGCAAGTCTGGCCCTTTAGGCAGATGGTAGTGACACACAGCAAAGATATTGTCAGTTATTTTATTTTATTTTTGTTTTTTCAAGACAGGGTTTCTCTGTGGCTTTGGAGCCTGTCCTGAAACTCCCTCTGTAGACCATACTGGCCTTGAACTCACAGAGATCCACCTGCCTCTGCCTCCCGAGTGCTGGGACTAAAGACATGCACCACCATTGCTCGGCTTTTGTCAGTTATTTAAAGTACATCAATGTTGTTCTTTTTCAAACAGTTACCCAGAGCCACCTTGCCTACCTGACAGAATTATGCGTGCCTCAAGAAGAGAACTGGGGACTCTATAGCAGGCCAGGACTTCTTTGGTTGTGACCCAGGGAAGTCCCTTGAGTTCCGGTTAGAGGCCTTTGATATGGAGAGGAACCTAAGGGCTGGCTGGTTGTAAATCAGGATTGTCTCCTTTGTTATGAGAATGGAGCCTAATGGCTGGGCAATCCTAGTAAGTAAACATTTTTATCCTTGCATCCTAAATTTGGCTTAGTCTCTAACAGGCCTGGTTAGCTAACTACTTATTTTGGGGGTGTTTTGTAGGCAGTACTCCTTTAGCTTAATTCTTCCTGTGACTTAATTCTATGAAGTATATAAGATTAATTCTAGTACTTTAAGTTTCTTCTACATCATTAATTTGAGTTTCTTTTATATTAGCATTGCTATGCCCAGCTTCTACTTAACTCCTTTTGATAAATAGGTTATGGCTGCTCTTGTACCAACCATATGACAGCTGGGCGTTGGTGGTGCACACCTTTAATCCCAGCACTCGGGAGGCAGAGGCAGGCGGATCTCTGTGAGTTCGAGGCCAGCCTGGTCTCCAGAGCAAGTGCCAGGATACAGCCAAAGCTACACAGAGAAACCCTGTCTTGAAACAAACAAACAAACAAACAAACCCCAAACCCCAAAACCAACCATATGACAGCAGGTGTCAGGTATAGGAATGTGGCGGCCTCTTTAGATAGGGCATGAAATTTCTACTTTGGCATAACCTCCACTGTTTCCTACTGTCACACAGTAGGACTAAACATTAGGTATCATTTATATTGGTTGCAGTCTGCACAAATACATTCCTTAGAAGCAATTTTTAATTACATTTGTTAAAATGCCATCATGCATGTGGAAGTGAGGATAACTTGTGAGTTGGTTCTCTCTTTCCACCTGGGGATCCTGGGGATCTAACTTGGGTCTTCAGGGTTGGCAATGGCTGTATTTGTCTTCTGAACCATCCCAATAGCCCAAGTCAAATGTATCTCAGTAGCAAGGGTGGGAATGGGGGGCAAAAAATAAAAATCTTTCAGGAATAATTGGAAGGTGTCCACTTCTGAAAATGAAGCTCTCTATCTGTTATCAAGAACATAAATTAAATCTACCCTCATTGTGTTATTGTTTTCACTCTCTCTCTGAATCTGGAGATAGTTATGTGTGTGTGTGTGTGTGTGTGTGTGTGTGTGTGTGTGTGTGTGTGTGTGTATGATTTATCTATTTTGGTCAGCTTTGCACACCAGCACTTGGGAGGCTGAGGCAGGAGGATTGCCCAGTGCCGCCCCCACCCCAGTTTACTTATTACAGTTATTTCCCTAGCTTTATATGTATTTTGACACTAGGGTAGATACTAAAAAGTTATCTGACAAAGAGAAGAGGGTAGAATGAAAAACAAGTTTAGCAAACAAGATTCCAAAGCAAACACTGTAACTCAGCTCATAAGGTTGAAGCAAGAAACACACCTCTCTCCCCAGGGTATTTCATCCTGGAGCTAATCACAAGTGACTGTGGCCATCTTGGTTACTGCACATCCCACATTCTCATCTGGCAGCAGCTCTGTTAAAGGTGTTGCAATAATAGAACAAAGAAAATCATAAATCAAGGCACCTTTTAAGTACATTGGTTTGGAAACATCAGGTTACAGCTAAGCAGGGAAAACTCAGCTTCAGACTTCAGACACTATCTAAACACATTCTTAGCTTGGGGTTTGGTAGAAGCTACATTACAAATTGTTTTATCTCAGCAGGGCAGTGGTGGCCCTTGCCTATAATCCTAGTACTCAGGAGGCAGAGGCAGGAATCTTGAGTGGATCTCTTTAAGTTCAAGTTAAACCTGGTCTACAGAGTGAGATCCAAAACAGCCAGGGCTGTTACACAGAGAAACCCTTTCTCAAAAAACAATAAAAACAAAACAAAGAAACAAAAAATTAGCAGCTTTCCCCCAAAGAGATGGCTCAGTGTTGAGGACTTGCTGCTACTCTTCCAAGGATGGGGTTCGGTTCCCAGCACCTGTGCTGTAACTCCTGCTCCTGCGGATCCAACTTCTTCTGGACCCACAGGCACCTGCACTCACATGTTCACCACCCACCACTCACCCCAACCAGCATGAAGACACTCAGAAAACAGCAGCTTCCCTAGTGATGCTCTTGATCTTGGTCCGTTGCTTCTGTTTTGTTTTATTTGGCAGTGGGTGGTAGTTATTGCAGAAGATTCACAACTAGTCAATGCTGCAGAATAAGGGACTAGTGAGTCTTAATTCTAAATGGGATGAGTTTACCAACCCGCTTGACCCTAGCTTTTCAAGGCTCAGGGAACATCCATGGGAAGTGGGAAGGATGTTAAGAGCCAGTGAGTAGGCAGGGGTATGTAAATGCTGTGTTCTGAATGTGACATGATGTGACTTTTGCATTCATGGACTTATAGCATTTATGCCTACCTGTCTGAGTTCAAGCCAGTCGGTATTCCAGCATAGACAGAGGGGGAACTTCTGAGGCCTCATTCCTAATTAGGAGCCAGAGGCAGTTAATGGTTTCTAAGAGAGGAGTATTTTGTCTTTGGGGATATGGTCATTGGTTCAACTTGGGTAGAAGACCCCGCAGCCATGCATATGGAGACATACTAATTGGAATCAATGGATTATTGAGAAGAAGGAGGTGGAGGAGGTGGTATTAGTCAGGTTTCAGAGGAATAGAACTGATAGAATTCATCTATTTATATAAAAAGAGGATTTATTAGAGTGGCTTACAGATTATAATCCAAATAGTCCACTAATGGCTGTCTCCTGATGGAGAGGCCAAGAATCTGGTAATTTTTCAGTTCACAAGGCTGAATGTTGTTGACATAAAGAAACACAGCTCTCATCTTGAAGGGAGTAAGGGACAGTTTATTCTGGAGCCATTTTGAATGACCATGGCAAGGGAACATAGATTTAGGTTGTTTCAAATTCCATACTCCAACAGGGGAGCAGTTTCAAGTTTTTTTTTTTTTGTTTTTTGTTTTTGTTTTGTTTGTTTGTTTGTTTTTCGAGACAGGGTTTCTCTGTGGCTTTGGAGGCTGTCCTGGAACTAGCTCTTGTAGACCAGGCTGGTCTCGAACTCACAAAGATCCGCTTGCCTCTGCCTCCCGAGTACTGGGATTAAAGGCGAGCCTCACCAACATCCGGCAGTCAAGAGGTTTTTATAAAAAGCCATAAATCAAGGCAAGTTTAAAAGGCATTGGTGGGTACATCAGAGGCAGAAACAATGAAATGGGAGTAGGGGAGGTATGTGTGGCTATTCTATAGGACTAAAACATTATCTGCCATTCTTAGTTCTTAAATTGGTAGAATCTAGTATTCTTCTAAGTTGATGTCTTCTAAGAGGCTTTTTTAATTTATTCACATGAGGTGTTAGTTCAGATACAGAGTGGGGCAAGGCATGACTTCCAAAATGCTAAAACTAGCACAAGATAATTCGTTTCTGAACCTACAAAATCCCAGTGTCTCCATAGGATAAAATTCCAATTGGTCCATTAATCTCTGCAGACACAGAAACTCCTTTCAAAGTTTTTCTTTTTTCTTTTTTTTTTTTTTCTTTTTTTGTTCACAGCCAGAGAGCCTCTTTTCAGGAAGCTTCATTCACAATGTCTCAGTTGGCTTTCATCTACATTGGAACCCCAGAGAAGTAGGCTTGGACAAATAATGCCTCAGCAGCAGAAAAGATGAACTTGTCATTGAGAGAAACGGCAAGCAGGCAAAAGCAAAATCGTCCATGTCCTTTTATGTGGACCACCACCAGAAAGTGTGACCCAGATTTAGGATGGGTCTTCCCAATTCAGATAATCTAACTAAGAAAAACCCTTTCCAGGTGTGCCCAGATGCTTGGGTCAAGATACATTTTATAGAAGATATATGAAGTTGTTGAAGAATAAATAATACCCTTTTTAAGAAAGAATTAGCAGTTTCCTTCACCGAGCCACTTGGAAAGGATAAGAAAAAGCCAGGTTTTATTTCTCAGGACTTGGGAAGTAGAGGAAGGAGGACCTCATGAGCTGAGGCTAGTCTGGGCTATATAGTGGAATCCTGTCTCAAAAAACAAAACAAAACAAAACAAAACAAAAAACCAATAAAGTTGGGAGTAGAATCTCATACCAGTAATCACAGTTCCTTGGAGACTGCTAAGGCTGGGGGATTGCTATAAGTTTGAGGCAAGCTTGGCTACATAGTGAGTTCTAGGCTAGTCAGGACTACAGAGTGAGACCCTACCTCAAAACAAAAACAAAAATAAGTGTTAAGAAAGATGTCTGAACTAGTAAAGGTGCTTGCCTCCAATCCTGATGACCTCAGTTCAATTCCCAGAACCCACAGGGTCACAGAAGAAAATCAACTCTTTGTCCTTGACCTCTGCAGTATGCTGTGGCTCCTGTGCTCCTCACACTTAGAATAAATAAATGTAATCATAGCAAAACCGAATAAAGATTCTCAAAGGGAAGTATCAGTGGTGAGAGGACTGTGACAGTCAATGCTATTGCTCTCTGCAGTCCAAGTCGTTGCCCAAATCTTCTAGAGACCTCAACTCAGGCCAAACCAGGATTCCTAGCCTCAATGCAGAAAAGAATTTGGAGCCTAGCTAGTTTGAATTAAAGTTGGTGATTTTTCGTAAAGATGTTTTGATAAAAGCTTGAACATGAGGGTTAAAAGAGATGGGAGTGAAGAAGGAAGAGATTTGTCCATGTGCTGGGTGTGCTTCCTAAGAGCATAGCAGAGTATATGTCATAGTCAAGTATGGGTACATGTTTCTCAGGGAGAATCACAGGCAATTGAACCAACAGTGTCGATATATATCATTTTGGTGACTTTCCAGTTATAGCTCAAAAGGTGGTAAAGAAATATTTTTCCTTCTTTTGTATTTTTAAATTTATTTTTATTTGATGTGTATGAGAGTTTATCTGCTTGTATGAATGTGTTCTCTGTGTATATAGTGCCTGAGGAGGCCAGAAGAAGGTACTGAATTCCCTGGAATAACTAGAGTTATACAGATGGTTGTGAACTGCCATGTGGGTGCTGGGAACTTTGAACCAAGGTCCTCTACAAGAAGAGCAAGTGCTCTTAAGCATCTTAAGAGATAGCTCTCAGCCAAGCGGTGGTGATGCACGCTGCCTTTGATACCGGCACTTGGGATGCAGAGGCAGGTGGATCTCTGTGAGTTCAAGGCCAGCCTGGTCTACGAAGAGAGTACCAGACAGCCAGAACTACACAGAGGGGGGTGGGGGGGCTCTCACTGAGTCATCTCTCCAGTCCAGTCTTTCTTTGATAAGTTTATACGTTTATAGGGTGGCTGAAGAGGTGCCTTGAATGGCATTATATATACTGATAAAGTAAAACCAGAAGCTAACAGGGTTGCTAGAAGATCTTAGTACACATCTGTCCCTACAACTTGTTTTTCCTGGTGAGATTCCTAGAAAATCATAGGTTTATGGTTGAGGAAGGGAGAAAGGCCTTGAGCAGTTCATTTTCTGGAATTCTTGCTTTTCTGCTGACTAGAGGCTTCAACTGGATTCCTAGATAAGGGTTCTTTTCTCCTGATCATTTTCTCATAATTTTCCCTGTGTTTCTATCCTACCTCTGAAGGATGTTTCAGAGAATTCTACATTAACGAAATGTGTAGCAAGTCAAGTCTGGTGGCTCTCAACTGTAATCTGGAGAGACTAAGGAAGGGAGGTCTCTCTGGGTTCAAGGCCAGCCTAGGCTACACAGGGAGGTCCTGTCTCCACGCAAGCAAAAAACATGTGGTGGAAAAGCTATGGGCACTCAGCTGTACACACGGCCTTCACCTTGGACTTCAGGGAGAATGACCCTATGGCTCACTAGGGAGGACTGAGAACCTCTGTAAACCAGTGGTTCCCAACCTTCCTAATGCTGCAGCCCTTAATACAGTTCCTCATGTTGCGGTGACCCCCAGGCGTAAAATTATTTCCTTGCTACTTCAGAACTGTAATTTTGCTACTGTGATGAATCATAATGTGAATATGTGATGCGCAAACCCTGTGGGGGTCTCATCCCACGGGTTGAGAATGACCGCTGTAAGCCCTGAGTCCTGTCTAATGAAAAGATAGCATGGGACAAAGAAAAAGTAGCTGTATGTAGAAAGACCGAACAAACCAGATGGTGGTGGCACATGCTTTTAATTCCAGCACCCGGGAAGCAGAGACAGGTGGATCTCTGTGAGGCCACCCTGGTCTACAGAGTAAGTTCCAGGACAAGCTCCAAAGCTACACAGAGAAACCCTGTGCAGAAAAAAAAAAAAAAAAAAAAAAAAAAAAAAAAAAAAAAGAGAGAGAACAAAACTTTGGAAATGTGAGAAGAAAGGCACAGTGGCCAGGCAGTGGTGGCACAGGCTTTCCTAGCATTCAGGAGGCAGGGGCAGGCATATCTCTGAGTTCAAGGCCAGCCTGCTGAACACTGTCTCAAAAAAAAAAAAAAAAAAAAAAAAAAAGGAAAAAGAAAGAAAGAAAAGAAAGGTGTACCTATGCAGTCTGGTTGAAGCTTCTCACTATCAGGGAAGAAGGAATTCCAGCACAATTCACACCACCTCCTCTGTGGCTCAGGGAATGTTTCAGAGGAAGGGGGGCAGGGAAGCTTGAAATCTTGCAAGAATTGAAAGAATGAAGAACTGTGGAATGCCATCCTCTGGACTCATACAACCGTTGTAGATGTGAACTCACAACTGCATTTGCCCTCCTGGGCCCACACAAGACTGGTCCCGTCAACAGACAGTCAGGAGGGGTCCATAGGGCCCCAAACCTTACTGCTGAACTTTTGCCTATTGATAGAGTCTAGGAAAAGGGGAGTCACTGTCTCAGTTGTGCACTCATGGCTGAGTCCACCAGCCTCCACGCCCATGGTCACATAGCTCTGGTTAAACTCAGAGGATCACAAAACTGGAGGAATAGATGTGAACAAGAGAAAGAGATTCAGGAAGGGGGGGGGTAATGGCAGGTGAGAGGGTAGGAGATGAGAGTGTTTAGTATGCATTATGTATATGCTGTGTGAAACTGTCAGAGAAGAAACTTAATTGGGGGTAAAAGAATTCTAGAATATTTAACAACTGCTTATGGCCTTTCTCTTTTCCCATCTACAAATCTGCAGTTTTCAGGGAATCTCACCAGAAACCTCATTTACAGGGAAAGGATATGCACTAAACCCTCATCCAATTTATTTCTTATGTTTTGGTTGTTTTCAAACAGGGTCTCTCCAGTATGTAGCTCTGGCTGTCCTGGAACTTGCTCTGTACACCAGGCTGGCCTGTCTTTGCCTCCCGAGCGCTGGGATTAAAGGTGTGTGCCACGACCTGGCAAGCTCCTTGTGCAATCCTTTTTGGGGTGGTGAGACAGGGTTTTTCTGTGTATCCTTGGCTGTCCTGGAACTCATAATTTCATGTAAAGCATCTCTGGGACCACCCTATACTCTATGGGAGCGGGTGATGGAAGGGTGGAAGAAGAAGAAAGGTTTCTTGGCAGCTTTTTGAAATGTAACCTAAAGAGCCACCAAAATGATATAAAAGGCTAATACTGTGACAATTAATTGTGACTCTCCCTTGGGAAGCACATATCTGGTACGTGGATATGTTTCTGAGTACTTTCTCCTAATCCTCAAGCCTATACTAAAATATATTTACTACAAATTCCATCCCCGACACTCCTCCACTGCTGGTGGGAGTGCCAACTTATACAGCCTCTTTGGAAATCAGTATGGCAACTCCTCAAGAAAATGGGAATCAGTCGGCCACAAGATCCAGCAATTCCACTCTTAGTCATATACCCAAAAGAAGCACATTCATACAAGGACCTCTGTTCAACAATGTTCATAGCAGCATTATTTGTAATAGCCAGAAACTAGAAGCAGCCTAGATGCCCCTCAACTGAAGAATGGATACAGAAAATGTGGTACATTTACATAAGGGAGTACTACTCAGCAGAAAAAAACAATGGAATCTTGAAATTTGCAGGAAAATGGATGGAACTAGAAGAAACCATTCTGAGCGAGGTAACCCAATCACAAAAAGACAAACATGGTATGTACTCACTCATATGTGGATTTTAGACATAGAGTAAAGGATTACCAGCCTACAACCCACACTGCCAGAGAAGCTAGTAAACAAGGAGGACCCTAAGAGAGACATACATGGTCCCCTGGAGAAGGGGAAAGGGTCAAGATCCCCTGAGCAAATTGGGAGCACAGGAAGAGGGGGGAGGGAGCTAGGAGAATGAGAAGAGAAGAGGAGGTTTAAAGACAAATCAGGCACTAGGGAAATGTCTGGAGAGCTACAAAGATGACACCAACTAACAACCTAAGCAACAGAGGAGAGGCTACCTTCAATGCCCTCCCCTGATAATGCGATTGCTGACTGACTTATATGCTACTTGATAGCCCTCATCCAGCAGCTGGTGGAAGTAGAAGCAGACACCCACAACTAATCACTGAACTGAACTGGAATCCAGTTGCAGAGAAGGATGAGTGAAGAACAAAGAGGTCCAGACCAGGCTAGTGAAACTCACAGAAACAGCTGACCTGAACTTCAGGGAACTCTTGCTCCCAGAGTGATAGCTGGAATACCAGCATGGGATTGATCCAGACCCCAGGAACATGGGTTTCAGTGAGGAAACCTCGGAAATCTACGGGACCTCCTGTAGTAGTTCAGTACTTATACCTAGCATAGGTGTGGACTTTGGGAGCCCATTCCACATAGAGGAATACTCCCTGAGCCAAGACACTAGCCAAGAGCCTAGGCCCTATCCCAAAGGATACGATAGACTCTGATGACACCCTCTGGAAGGCCTCCCCATCCAGGGGGAGCAGAAAGGATATATGATAGGTAGGGTTTTAGTTGGGGGGAGTGGTAGGGGAGGAGGGTAGGAAGAGACAACTGGGATTGTCATGTAAAACAATCTTGTTTCTAATTCAAATAAAAAATCTGAAAAAAAAAAAAAAGCAAAAAACAATTTCCATCCCTGCCTCAAACCAGCCAGGTCTGAAATTCTTTTCTGCCTGGTTTGGCTTGAGTTGATGCCTCTGTCCCCTCATCTATATGATATGCTGAGCAGAAAATGGAAATAAGGCGCCCCTCTGTGAACCCAGCAGCTGCTCAGAATTTTAACTTTAGTCTGTGTGGAACAATCTTCCTCAGTTGCACGTAGTAGGGTTGCATTCATCTGGCTTGGCTCACCATAGCCCTCTGAATTTTTTTTTTTTTTTTCTGAGACAAGATTTCTCTATATAACAGTCCTAGCTGTCCTGGAACTCACAGAGATTCCCCCTTCCTCTGTCTCCTGAGTGCTGGGATTAAAGACATTCGACACACAGGCAACTAAGCTGGCATCCTCTGATATTTTAACTACATTGGTTGGTATTGTTAATGAAACCCCCAATTCCATGGGTTAGAAGGTTTATTATAAATATGAAACTGCCATGTGTCCATCTCTCCAGGAGGTAGGGAGAGAATAGCCAAAGGCATTTAGGGAGTCTAAATTGCCATGGCTACCCATTAGAGCTGGGGGGAGGCTTGCTGGTTTTAAAGAGAAAGGTATTCAAGGCAGGGAGTGGAATCTGGAACAACCTGGAAGTTTAGGATAGAGTGGGAGTGTTCAGGCTAGAAGAGCCCTGCGGCTTTGATATGCATTGCAGGTGCGTGTCAACAGTGTTAATAGGGACCTAAGAAGCCTGAAGGTTAGCATGGGGCTTTGATATGTATTATAGGCATAGAGAACCATGTGTGCCATTTGCAGTAGTCGGTTGTAAGGAGCAATGACAGGAAGTGAAGGCTCTTTTAGACAGACAGACAGAAACCTGTTTCACAGGTTCCAGAGGAATGCTGAGTGCCAGCAGTCTTGTTTATTCTGTCAGAATTCATCCTGAGCGGAACCCATACTGTCATTTTGGGACATAGTCAGCATGCCCATTTTGTATAGTTTGGGGGTTCCCTTTGGACCGAATAGTTACATTGTTACATAAATGCATCACAAACCTCTTGATAGTTTTTCTCACACAGATTTCCTGTATGTAATTTAAAAAGGCTCGTTTAGAGAACCACTCCTACTTCTGGTTAGATGTGAGACATTGGGACATTTACACTGGCACGGTTTCTGCAGGTGTGCTGCAATAA